TTGAACATCATACTGTTGCATTCTTAACATGAATCTCTGTATTCTGAGAGGGCATTCATTGAGAGACTTGTTGAAGATTGAAACTTATGGCTTGTGATCCGTTTCTACATATATGGACTGTTCATATATGTACTGATGGAAATGTTCACATGCAAAGGTTATTGACAACATTTCTTTTTCAATTTTAGCGCACCTAGTTTCAGCACTGGTAAGAGCTCTGGAAGCTTACGCTACAGGCAACCAATCAGAATCATACTTCTACAGTAGGACAGCACCTAAACCACTCTGGGAAGCGTCAGACGAAATCTTGATCTTCCTCCAAGGATCAAAGAACTTCTGGACTGGTTCCTGTGACACAACTTGCTTCAGAGACAACCATGTTTGTTCCTCTTGAGGTAGGCACTGAAAATTAACATCTTTATCCAACAATTGTCTAAGAGGTTGTGTCTTCTCAAGAGGTTGCGGATGAATTTACCTAGGTAGTTTATCATACCCAAAAAGCTCTGGACATCTTTCTTACAGGTAGGTCTCTGCATAGATTGTATTGCTTCAACCTTCTGGACATCTGGCTTCGCACCATCACTGCTGATCACATCGCCAAGAAATGTCAACCCAGTAACCCCTAAAACACATTTGTCTGGGTTAAACTTCAAGTTATTCTGACGTGCGATATCAAGAACCTGAGAAAGATGATTATCATGATCTTCAGGCATTGAACCTGACACAATAATGTCATCCATGGAGGTATCTACACCTTCTACTGAATCAAACAAGGCGTGTATCGTCTTGTGATATACTACTGGGGGAGAAGATATGCCAAAGGGGAGCCGTAAGAAACTATATCTTCCAAAGGGTGTTATGAATGTACAGAGCTTAGAAATCTCCTCATCCAGCTTTATTTGCCAAAATCCAGCTGATGCATCAAGTTTACTGAAAAAACGTGCATTCGAGAACTTTGCAATGATTTCCTCTCGTGTAGGAAGTTTAAAATGTTCACGTTTAATGGCCTTATTTAAGTCTTTAGGGTCGAGGCAGACTCTCAACTGCTTGTTTAGCTTTTCAACAATTACAAGAGGACTCACCCAGTCCGTTGGCTCATTCACCTTGGTTATGACGTCAAGCTTATCCATGCGGTTGAGTTCTTCCTTTAGTCTGTCATGCAAAGCAAAGGGTACTCGACGACATGCGTGCACAACAGGTGGAACATCATTGTCGAGCTTGATGTGGTGAACACCTGGCAGATCACCCAGACCCTTGAACACGTCTGCATAGTTCTGAAACACTACATCTCCGTCTAAAGGTAACTCAGAACCAACAGAGAGAACACGACGTACCAAATTCAGCTGGTCACATGCTTTCAACCCTAGAATAGACTGTAGTTACAACAAACATGAGATCAACTTGTGTGTTCTTGTGACAAACTGTAGCTGTAAACTGACCCATTACGGGAATATCAACATGAGAGTAACCAGTGAGTTTAGTTCTGGAGGGACGCAGTCTTGGTTTGTCAAGTAGCCTGTTGAAATCTTTCTCAGAAAGGTTATTAGCTTGAGCACCTGTATCAAGTTTAAGTGGCAAGAACGTGTTATTGACTTGTAAGGAGACTATCCAATCTTTGTCAGAAACGACATCTGTATCAATTGAATCCACAAAGAGTTCATCTTGGGTTTCCTCAACAAAGTGAACTTTACTTTTCAATGACTGATTCTTGGACCTACAAACTCTAGCAAAGTGATTCTGTTTCCCACATTTATAACATGATTTTCCAGATGCAGGACATCTTCTAGGAGCGTGTTTAAATCCACAATAACCACATGTATCAGATTGCTCAGACGAACGGGAACCAGAACTCTGGGGCTTTTTTCTGTTGACAGAATGTACCGATTGGGAGTCTAGTGGATGAAGTTCCTTAACTTGGACTTTACTAGCTTCAGCAACTCTGCACATAGTAACAGTCTTATTTTAAGTCAAATCATCTTCACGCAAGAGCCTTTCCCTTAATGCATCACTTGCAATGCCACAAATTATCCTATCTCGGATGAAAGAATCATGCAAATCTCCAAACTCGCATGTTTTTGCTCTGCTCTTTAACTCTGTAACATACTGGTCTGTTTTCTCCCCTTACCTCTGGCTGCAGGTAAAGAATCTGTGCCTTTCAAAGGTAATGTTACGTTCGGGAATTCAATAAGCTTCAAATTTATCCAAAATCGGCTGAAGTTTCATAGCATCCGTGTCATTCTCAAAATGAAATGTGTTATAAATCTCCAGTACATCTTCTCCAATAGTAGACAAAAAAATAGACGACTTTACCTTGTCACCTTTCGCGTCCTTGTCAGTAGCAGTCATAAACAACTGAAACCGTTGCTTGAACTTACGCCAGTTCTCCGCAAGATTACCCGTCAACGGCAAAGGTGAGGGTGGATGTGGTTGGTCCATTCTCTGACGAAACCATTCCTGACACCATGTAACAATGTGACGCTAGGACGAGGACCAACAATAGAGGACTGAACACGATGTGTACAAGGTGACACGGTTCGCGAGAAGCACGTGTCAGGCAGGCACATCCGGGTAGGGGGCCGGTCCGGCTCGCCTGGCTCAGTATACATGTAGACTGTGTGCAAGTCTCTTATCAGTACAGCTGGGTTCCAACAATGACATGATCCATCTTTTTATCCACTTCAGCATGCAGATTCAGATTTATGTAATATAGTTCTAAAGCATGATATTGTCTTTACGTCATATCAACATCAGTTCTTGAAAGACTTTGGCCCTGTGATCCCCACAAGGAAACATTCCTGTCTGTGACAGCTTTGTCTGTATTGTTTTGTCTGTGCTCTGTAGTTGGGGCTGGTGCTGCATTTATGAAGATAGTGATTGCTGAGGGAAATAGTGCTTTGATGAGTCTGTGAACATAATGGTTCCCCAACATGCTGGTGATGAATATTCCTCAACATGGGAATTGCTGGTGGCGAATATTGCTGTTGCTGCCCTGGGAGGTAGGGTAGGCTGATGGTTAAAGCATCCACTTGTCACACTAAAGACCCGGGTTCGATTCCCTACATGGGCACAATGTGTTAAGCCCATTACTGGTGTACCTCACCGTGATATTGCTGGAATATTGCTGTAAGCAGCCTAACACTAAACACACACTCACTGTTGCTTCCTAATTTCTGGTGGTGAATATTGCTGTTGTTGAACATAGTGATCACTCTTGGAGAAGGTTCTTCTTGTAAAATATTTCTTATTGTTGCATCAGAAATAAACACTCCGAAAGTTTAAGTTGTTTGTCACCTATTCAACTACACCTATCCAGAATTTGTGGTTCCAGGAATATGATTATTAACCCAAATTCTGTTAAGTTTCCAGGAGATACCGATGACGGACTGTATCGCAATAAACGTTCCCATGTAGCCAAGCAGTTTCTGACACTAGTCCTCCAGGAACCATTGGGGCGGTGGGGTAGCCTAGTGGTTAAAGCGTTGGCTCGTCACGCCGAAGGCCCGGGTTCGATTCCCCACATGGGCACAATGTGTTAAGCCTATTTCTGGTGTCCCCCGCCGTGATATTGCTGGAATATTGCTAAAAGCGGCGTAAACCTAAACTCAGTCAGTCAGTCCAGGAACTATTCATCATCCCCTAAGACGAGGTGTCCTACCTTAACAATCGTCGGATATATTCACAGCTGGGCATCATACACTTTTTGAAAAAGTAGGGGATATTCTAGTTTGGGGTAATACTATTTTGGAACCAAGTTGTATGATTGTGTATAGATTTAGAAAATGAATAATTTTTAAACTTATCCTATCTCACGGTATGCATTACTCTCTCTCACTTCGACTATGGCGTGGATATGTCCTGTAGGTTAAGTTGAATCAAATCTTCTGGCCTCTCTCCCACCCGATTGCTCCCACTGCTCCTATAGCTGGACCTGTCAATCATCTTTGTGAAGCTAAGCGCTCAGATGGTCACGTGACGTCCCACTCCTGTCATTCACCGCTTATCGTAGAGTGGGCACAAGACGAGCGGCAGACAGTGGCCGTCGGAGACCTTCTGAACAGCTTGCTGTTCATCACCATCACCGGACGTAGGGATTTCTCGATGCTGCGTCAGATTCCTACCTCAGCGAGTTTAAGCCGTTTATTCAGGCCCCAGACATCGAGTCCAGTGTTGAGACAGACTGACTCCCCCCCCTCGTTTGGTAGTGCTTCATACATTGCGATCACAGTCCCGACCAACAGTTTAAGTGACAATTTCTCAAACACCCGATACAGCAATGTCAGCACCTACTGGCAGTGTATCTCTCTTTTCTGGCTCAGCAATTAACATGTCTACAGTCACTTTTTGTAGTGCGAGCTTGTTTACGGCGATCCCTCTAACTCCAGCACTTCAGACTTGTGCGCTGTTTCACTTCAAGGTGACAGTCCCTCTCGGCCAGGTGTGACATCACTCCCATCTACAACGTCATCTACTTTGCCGGGTTCAGCCCCCTTTGACGGTTTAGTCTACATCCTCCCGTCCGATTATTCTGGTTTCTTGGGATCCTTCTAGAGACAGTACAGGTTCCCAGCCTTTCAACTTTGACTCAATTGTTTGAGCAGTAGCCTCTGCCTTAGGTCGGGATCCTCCCTAAACGACTGCTACTCCTCCGGGTTTGCATCAATCATCGTCCGGTCCTTCATTGGATGAAGCACTCACTTCTGCCATGCCTTCTCCTCCTTCAGAGTGTCTGTCTACCTCAGATGCAGTAGTAACACCCCAACTGCTGACGTGGATTGCGGATAACTTGAACTTACCCAGGAGTAGGTGTCCGTCAGATCTGCCTTCCTCTTTCGACATGCGACCATCACCTTCCCTCCTCGACCATGTATCACTCAACTGATGATGACCTTGCTTTGTTAGGACCAAACAACATACGTACTCCCCACTTCTAGTAGAAAATAGGGAGTTGTGTCACTTGGATTTGTCAATACGCAAGATCCTTGCTCCCTTTATTATGATCCTTACAGCCACTTGCGCATGAGTTGTTGCCTGAACAGGCCTACATTAGAGGAGCCATGGTTCTGATGCAGGAGCAGTTCCTGACAGTACTGGATCATGCGCAAGTATTGGATCAGTTTGCACACTTTTTCTCCTACCTGACGGCTGTCAGGTGTAGGGGACCACTGAATCTGTCGTGGTTGGAGGATGAGTCTAAAACTGACCTGTTTCGCCAGCCCTGGTCTGGATGCACACTCTTTAATGGGGCCACCAGAGAGGTAGCTACTAAAGTCGTGCAAGATACACAACTTCAGGTTTCAGTTCAACTCCTGAAATTTCAGCGTATGCAGTAGTGTTGGGAATTGGTTAAAATCTCATAATTGATGATTGGTTCATTACTACCGATCAATCATCGAACATAAGTGGTTAGCGTCATATATGAAATTTGTTAATACACATAAAAATAAGGAAAAAAGATGTACAGCGAAGCCCCGTTAGTCCGGACCCCGATAATCCGGATGTCTCGCTTCCCGAACGATTTCAGCTTGTTACCAATCTATGCCTGTATAATTTGCCTCGATAATCTGGAAATTCGGTTTCCGGAACCAGACGGTAAGTAACTGTCACCAATCAGTAAAATAAATAGTAAATTGCTTCACAGTCCGGACGCTGTAAGTCGTGTTCACGAACCGTAACAACACCTCCCGGCGATGTTTACTTAACTGGCCTCAAAACAATAAACACTCGGTGTCATGGAGATGACAAGATGAACTCCCATTAACAAGGCTTCACTGTAGTTCTTTTGGAGTTTTTTTGGCCAAATTCCACATCTTTAAAGGATGACTAGTATGTTAGGAACATAAGTTTCTTGGAATCTTTAAGATATATTCAATCATGACTTGAAACGAGCTTGTAGTGCTGACGAAATGTAACAGACAAAACCAACCATGTGAAAAATATTGTTAATCAAAACAAGTGTTCCAGAACTGTTTGTGTTCAATTATAAGAAATTATGATTAATCGCTTGGTCATTTAGTCATCAGACCAATCTTCGATTATTTCAATTAATCGGACCACCACTAGTATACAGGTAGAGGAATCGTTGCAACAATCTGTTGCGAGCAATCCGAATTTACGCTCCACGTCTTCAGTTCTCTTTGGGGGGTCGATCATTCTCTCATGGACGTCCCAGATGACAGCAACACTATTTCGCCAGCTCTCGTGGCACTGCCAGGACCGTACAGCCCAATGTGTCGGGATCTTCGAAGCACTGACTCTGTGACATTGCTGCATGACTGGGAACTCTCGCCTCCAGTTGTGCCAGTGGTAGACTCACCAGTCGGCGGAAGACTTGGAGATTATGCACTCAACTGGACGATACTGGAAGACCCCTTCATTCAGTCAACTCTTTCCACGGAATTTCAGATTCCTCTGGTCAGTTCTCCTCCATTGATGCCTCAACCGGTTCAAAGGTGACCTGACCTAGCTGAGCCAGTCTTTGACTTGACCTACCTGAGCATGTCTGTGACCTGACCTACCTAAGCCAGTCTTTGACTTGACCTAGCTGAGCCAGTTTGTAACTCGACCAACGTTAGCCTGTCTGTGACCTGACCCAGTCAGTGACCTGACCTAGCTGAGCCAGTGTGTGACCTGACCTACCTGAGCCTGCCTGTGACTTGACCTACCTGGGCCAGTCTTTGACTCGACCAACCTGAGCCTGTCTGTGACCTGACCTAGCTGAGCCAGTGTGTGACCTGACCTACCTGAGCCAGTCTTTGACCTCACTTAGCTGAGCCAGTCTGTGACCTGACCTACCTGAGAGAGTGTGACCTGACCTAGCTGAGCCAGTCTTTGACCTCACCCAACTGAGCAAGTCTCTAACCTGACCTACCTGAGCCAGTCTGTGACCTCACCTACCTGAGCCAGTCTGTGACCTGACCTACCTGAGAGAGTGTGACCTGATCTAGCTTAGCCAGTGTGTGACCTGACCTACCTGAGCCAGTCTGTGACCTGACCTAGCTGAGCCAGTCTCTGACCTGACCTACCGGAGAGAGTGTGACCTGACCTAGCTGAGCCAGTGTGTGACCTGACCTACCTGAGTCAGTCTGTGACCTGACCTATCTGAGCCAGTCTCTGACCTGACCTACCTGAGAGAGTGTTACCTGACCTAGCTGAGCAAGTGTGTGACCTGACCTACCTGAGCCAGTGTGTGACCTGACCTACCTGAACCAGTCTGTGACCTGACCTACCTGAGCCAGTCCTTGACCTGACCTAGCTGAGCCAGTGTGTGATCTGACCTACCTGAGCCAGTCTGTGACTTGATGAGGGCATCCTGACCCTGCAGGATTGTGGGGATGGCTCGCTGCTGTACAGCAGTCATCTGTGTCAGCTGCAGCCTTTCTTCCAGTGCATGTACCTGTTGACATGACAATCTCATCATGTCAAATCAATAATGACAATCTCACCATGTTGACATCAACATTACAATCTCACCAAGTCAACATCATAATCGACATCAGTATTACAACCTTAGCATGCTGCCATCCTAATTACTATCTCACATATCGACATCCTAATAACAATCTCACCATATCGACATCATAGGGACAATCTCACCATGTCAACATCAGCATTACAACCTCAGTATGTTCAAATGAGCATGACAATCTGATGTTGATGGAAATCTCGCCATGTCGACATCAGTATTTCAACCTCACCATTACAATCTCACCATTCTGACATCAGCATTACAACCTCACCACGCTGGCATCCTAATGACAATCTCACCATGCAGCATCCTAATGTTAACCTCACCATATCGGCATCATAATGACAATCTCACCATGCCAACATCAGCATTACCTCACCATGACGACGTCAGTATTTCAACCTCACCAGGTCAACATCAGCATTATCTCACCATGCTGACATCCTAATGACAATCTTACTATGATGACATCATGACAATCTCACTGTATCAACATCATAAGGGCAATCTCGCCTTGTCGACATCAGTATTTCAACCTCACCATTGTGACATCAGCATTATCTCACCATGCTGACATCCTAATGACAATCTCACCATGAAGACATCATAATGGCAATCTCACCATATCAACATCATAAGGACAATCTCACCATGACGACATCAGTATTTCAACTTCTCCATGTTAACAAGCCAATTACAATCCCACCATGTTAACAAGCTAATGACTATCTCACCATGAAGGGGTGGAGAGAGAGATGACTGAAGGAATCTGATGAAAACACATCTTCTTTTAATTCTGTTACTTTCGAGCTGAAACAGAAACACTCCATTGAGACACTGAGTGTTGTAACATATTCCCGAATTCCCCCACAGAAACATACACATGATCCAAGCATGTCAAAATGTGGATGCCTTTCCTTCACTTATTCCAACACTACCTGTAAAGGTGTCCTCCCATTTGTGAGAACTCCAAGTTGTGAGACACATTAATTAATGGTTCAGTGCACACAGGTGGTGCTTCCCCATCCCTACGATAAAAGTGGGAACAGCCCTGCTGCTGAAGAGTACCTGCAGGAGGCATGGTTCATTGATGAGACACAGAAGACATTGTTCATTGAAGAGCATTTATTGTTTTCAATGAAGAACAAGTTAAATACTGAAATACTGAAAAAGATTATCATTATATTTACACAGAAGAAAAAGTTCATTAAATATTTCATTATGATTTTTGATTCACACATTTTGATGATTTGCGTTATATGATGTTTGCGTGTCATTATAAGCTGGGGTTAATCCATTCTATCAGATAGGGGAGTAAGGTGTGTTTTCTTTGGTACTTACCTACTTCACTGTCTCACAACTGACTTTCCTTCACTTATTCCAACACTACCTGTAAATGTTAGGGTTGGGTATTGCCAAATTTTTTGTATTGTGATATATTGTGATACAGTACAACCAGAAATTATTGAGAATTTAACTCTTTCAACACCAGTCAACCAGAGGCATTTACTGCCATGACACCGAGTTCCCAGAGACTCTAAGGAAGCCTATGTTTATGAAGGAAATTATAAGCTTGTAGTTGTAAAACGTTACTTCTACTACATCTCATACACCGTTTTTATGTAATCAGAAAATTATAATAAAAAGATTTCTTAAATAATATGTATGGTCGCCTATTTCCCGATATCAGTGGCTTTCCGCTCGGTAACAGGACACAACAATGGAAAATACCTCGGTTTTCGAAACTTCGTATGAATAACATGCGAGGCAAATCGTTTGATGTCGGGTATCGTTCGGAAGCTCTGAACATCAACAATATCACTGTACCCTTGCCAAGGGTATTTTCACAGTTGTAAGAAGCGATTTTATTGGATAAAAACTGGTTTCTAATGACGCTTTTTCGCCACAGTCTGCTATAAGGTCGTGATTGGTCAAAATCAGACACGTGACCTAAGGCAGCCAATCATATTACGGCAATGGATACCGTCCTCGTAAACGAAAACTTTTAGATTTAGACGAAAGTATTTGGTAAAATAATGCTATTCTGAACATATTAAGCAAGAAATCGCTACATATACGTAAAATATGGGACTTATTGGACGTATCGTGCTAGGTTATGACCTGTGACAAAAATGCTTCATGCATATATTTTCGCATTAAACATCGTGTCCGAGCGTGAAGATTGAGGCGACGAGAGCCAAGATGTCACTTGTCAGTGACTTGACATGCATTACCACAGGCTATCGATGCATGGGATACGCCCCTTATACTACTATAGGAACCTAGAGGCCTAGATTCTACTGTTCTCTAGATGAGAATGACCGTGTTCGTCTTAAAAGGTCACACAGATATTATTACCAAATTCAGGGTCAAATGGCTATTACTGAAAGACTGGTGTGATTTCATGATTTGGACTTCGAATGGGTGGACTGTTGACAGAATCAGATTTGATGAAAAAGTCTGGAATGGCATGCTGCCCCAGTTGAACAAATTTTACCTGACTAATGTAATTCCAGAATTATTCTCAAGAAGAGTGAAAATGGGTATTCCACTGTATAATTAAATAAGATTTCAAGTGTTCCTATAAATGTATCAGTGATTGCCTGTGTTGACCAGTTCACAATCATTGTTGAAACAGTATGGCAATCTTAAATGAAAATGAGTTCATGCTTGCTTGAAAATTGTTTGAATACACAAGGTGAAAATGACAAGTACATATTTCTAGAATGTTTGCCTAAAGTTCTCAAAAGAGTGTTTGAATTCAATGTAGCATGTGCAGAATACCAATCCACTGAGTAGGTTCAAGTGCTTGAATATAACCAAATATAAATATTTTTTCCTATTGTACATTTACAGTGAAAGCAAGTACCATGAAATGACTTACACTATGAGACAAGAAACAGACTTGTCTTTAACTAAATTGCTTCATCCCTTGTATTTAAGTGCTTAATCCTGCATGCTAAATGTTCTTAAAATCTTTTGCCATCTTATTTGATGGCTTATAATAATTATCAGCTTTGAAGATCAAATAGTAGTGTTTTTAAATATGTATATATAACAAAAACACAAACAGATCACTAAAATTATTTTATTGGTGAACTGATCACTGTGTGCAGATCAATACTGACTCACTTTCAACAACATGGATAGCTGTTTAACAGCTAGAGAGATAATATACATTAAAGTGAAATCTTTCTTGTAGTATTGAGGCCTCCGTCCCAGTATATATGTTGTTAAGACAAACGTTAATAATATGAAACATCACAATTTGGTATTTGCATATGGATACCTAGAGCATCACACAAACCTGCCACAACTGAAAAGGCACTACAAAGTAGTTTTGATAAATTATCTCCCTTTAAGGTTAACTGTTCACAGTTCACATCCTTTCATAACTGGTGCATTGTATAATAAAAATAAAGAAAGGCACATTTTCAAGCACACTATTATTTCAGTATTTAACACATTTGTCAATATTACTTTTGTTGAATGACATGCTCTACCAATAAAGCTACAAATTTGTCAGCTTTATAGTACACACAATGTTCTAATGGCATTCACATACTACAGATAAAGCAAAAAAATAGGTTTCTTGTAAAAAATGTAAATGTTCTTATTGACAATATATACCTGTGTGTCATTGTACATATGATGGACAATACGAATGTTGCGTAAAACAACTTACCTGACACTGCATTCAGACAATGTGTCAAGACAGGAATTAATATATTTGTGAATGTAAATAAATATAGAATCTTCGTATTTGTTTTGTCAATTATTAGCAACAGTGATCATCTACTGATCAATAGTGATCACTGAGCAGTGATGCTCTATTATCTATACCTATCTATAAGTTCTGTTAGACACCTACTCACAACCAACACCTGACCTAACAAGTTAGTTAATAGTAGTAGTTAATTCGGTTGCAGTGGAGTGAGTACAGCTAACAGAACAGGGCTTGAGGTAATAATTAGTAGCTTGTAATAACAGGGGGTTACCTGACCTTTATCAAAATATTCCTAAGCGTTTCAAAGAGATCAAAGTGAAAAATGTCTGCAAAAATATGTTGCAGGCCTAATCAAGGTCTAAAAAAAGGCTGACCATGTCATACAAACTAAAATAATTCGCAAAGTCATCATGTTTAAGTTTTTGATAGTCTTCTAACATTTCAAGAAATAATCTTCAAATCATTGAAGTTACATGTACTCTGGCCTTGGCCACACCCCGAACAAATTCATTCAAATTTATATCATTCAAGAACAAGAGGTGGTTGCAAATTTGTCAAACAAACACATATATGCCATATTTTTGTTGCCTGGGAAGCCATTGTGATGGGAATAGTACCTTGTAAGATGCGAAAGTTTTTAATTCGTTCCATTTGCCGCTCAACATGAATCCTCAAACTGGCAATTTTCTTGGTTACATTCACCTCATGTTGAGTCATTTGTTGCTTTTTAGTTTTAAATGGGGGAATGATGAGATCAATACCTCAAGGTGTAGTTAAATCAGAGATGAGAAAACCTTTGCCTGCCATGATAGCATCACCTTCCTCACACAATTCAACAAGGCCACTAAGTTTGGTGATCTGTTTGTCACTGATACTACCACAATACAAATCTGAAGAAAATGTTACAACACCAGCTGGACTTATCCCAATCAAAGCCTTGTAGGTCATATGTGACTTATAGTCACTGTATAAAAGTGACTGTAGCTGAAGTGAACTAGGTGTCTCTGTCCATATCTCTCTGCAATCTATGACAACTCTAGTGGTTGGGTAATTTGTACTAAATGAATCTGGCATTGTTGCATTAACATTCTCCCTACTTGGCCATTGCACCAAAAACGAGAGTTGAACATATAAATAGTCAAACCACTTGTTGCAGAGTCTGCCGCATGTTGCACGTGAAATTCTAAATCTGTATGCCAAATCATCTAGTAACAGTTCTAATCTCAATCTCATTAGAATCATGAAAAAATTCAGATTCATCTATCTGCCTCAAAGCATGTGGTCTCCCATCATCAGATGTGTCAGAGTAAACCTGCTCATCATCATACATTTCATCAAACAAAGCCTCAAATGTTGACGAATCTGGAACTCCAGTGTAGAACATAACACTTTCATCAGAGCACCTGATATCCTCATAGGTCAATGTTGGTTTGTCAACTTGAATACCAACACTGTGCATCAATGAATCATATGTTTGAGTGCTTGCATTGCAATAGATAATTTCATTGTCAAATGTCTGAGTTCCAGCTGATGTAACAGGTTCCGAAACTGTTTGGGTACATTTATTCACAGAGAGACTGGTCAACATTTGGGAACCACAGTAGTCATGGTGACTAAGGGAACGTTCAAGTCTTGATAAAAGTCCTGCAGGTGAATCTGATTTCTCTGCTGACACATCACACATACTTGCATCCTCCATATGCAAAGCAATCTCATTAACATCATCAATATCCATGTTCTCACCAAGACCATGATCCAAATAGGTCTCACATGTAGTTCCATGGACAAGATGGGACACATTCTGTAAAAGAAGATAAAATGATCACCAATCAACTGTCATTTTTTTGGAAATGTATGCAGTAATCAGGGGAAAATGTCAACTAATTTTCCAGAATTTAGAAAATAATAATGACATGAAGGAATTAAAACCGTTTTTTGCAATGCTAATGTTTGGATGGATTCACTGAAAGGTATAAGGTTACCATACTTACCAATATTGTTCTAATAACATGCACGTAATTATTTCCTATTTCATTTGGAATTTCAAATTAATAAAGTCAAATTTATCTCAATTCTTGATCTG